AGTCAGCCGCTGATCAGTTTCAGCAGCGGCTGAATCTGGATGCCAGTTCCGACTTACATACAGATTCAACTTAAGAACAAACCTACAGTCCCTATCTTGTACGTAACCCGGGGACTGCCTGTATATAAAATATACTTGCTAATAGACACAATGGAAGAGTTAGAATACTTAACCTTTTGGACCCAGGGTTATTGCTACCTGCTGTGCTGGATGGATGTGACAGGATGCAGTGGTAAGCAGAAATGGTATTTCCCAAGATCTTAGAATCATAAGAATGGGAGGGACCTTGAGAGGTCGTCTAGTCCAGTCTCCTGCACTCATGGCAGGACTCAGTATTATCTGGAGCATCCTTGACAGGTGTTGTCTAACCTACTCTTAAAAACCTCCGATTATGTAGATTCTACAGCCTCCCAGTGTTTAGCAACCCTGCCAATCAGAAAGCTTTTCCTAATTTCCAGTCTCATATTTCTTTTTAGTGATGAATTGTGTCAGCCATGTTGCTCTAAAAACTGTAAAATAAGGGAGGAATGAAGGGAGTTGGGGGAGATGAGGCTAAAAAAGTTAGTGGAAAAATAATCGGTAGCTACCGTGCAGAGTATGGAGTCGAACTGCTTAGGGAACTGCTCATGGTTTTCTTTTCACAATTCTGCCAGGTTTGGCCTGCTGCTTTTGGTTGCATTACAATCAGAAATGTTCCATGTGTTCTTAAAATAGCATGTTATAAGAAGCAGGCCAGAATCTCCAATTCTGGCCCCTTTCAATTTCAGGGTTATGTGGGTCCTCATTCCAGGATCTGAATCGATCCTATTGTTGAATAGTAATAGAGAGGGAGCCGTGTTAGTCTGATCTTGCTAAAACAAAAGGAAAAACTATGTAGCACTTCAAAGACTATTGTTGTGATTACAACTTGTATCTCAAAACAAAGGGGCACTTCTTCCCTGGGTGGGTTCAGTTGTGGCCAGAATCCCTGGAGAACCATTCTCCTGAGGCATTTACTACTTGGGGACAAAGTTTAACAGCTGCATTCTATGAGGTTTGTACTAACAAAACCCCAACCCTAGTAGTGAGGTTACCCCAGGACAACCACTAGCATAGACAGGCAAAATCTTTATGCGCTATGATTTGCATCGGTGCAGGAACCATGTTAATCTCACCCTCTGTGTTGTACTACCATGCTCAGTATGACATGCTTCATAACACATCTAGTTGAGCCATGCAATTATTTACAGTCATGTGAATAACTCCAATGTCTTATCATTTCCCTGGAAATCAGGTGTGTTTTATCTTTATCCTTCCATAACAACCATAATTATCAAAATAAACACAGGCAGACAGAGAGAGAAAATGACTGGGGAAAACAAGGAAGGTGACTTCTTAGAAACCAGGATACACTGTTGCTTTTCTAAGGGTACGTCTAGACTACCGCGTTTTGTCGACGGAAGTTTTGTCGACAGATACTGACGACAAAACTTCCGTCGACAAAGAACGTCCAGACACATTGAGTTCTGTCGACAAAGCAAGTTGCTTTGTCGACAGAAGTCCATAGTCTGGACGCAATGTTACAGGCAATAACACCTTCTGTCGACAGAGTTCTGTCGACAGAAGGCGTTATGCCTCGTAAAATGGGGTATACCAGCGTCGACAAAACTGCTGAGTTCTGTCGACGTTATGTCGACAGAACTCAGCGGTAGTGTAGACGCTGGTATAGTTTTGTCGACAAAAGTCCACTTTTATCGACAAAACTAGGTAGTCTAGACACACCCTAAGAGACAAGAATAAGGCTTTGTCTACAGTGCCGGCTTTTGTCGGCAGAGAGTATGCAAATGAAGCGCTGATTAGCATTTTGTCACACTTCATTTGAATAATCTATTTGAGCCATTTTTGCACAAGGGGGTTTTGCACAAAAACGGCTTGAATAGACCATGTAAATGAACCACAAGCAATGCAAATCAGCGCTTCATTTGCATACTCTGCCTGCAAAAGCCAGCAGTGTAGGCAATGGCTAAAGATAATACAGAAACGAATTACTGCTTTTAAGTAGAAGGCTTCAGATACTGAGGGGTGTTAATTTTGCTGTTGTCAAGTTCTGATTTAACAATGAATGTCACATTACATAAATATGTTCAAGTTAACAAAACAATGATAGGAGTAGGTTTGTGTCTTTTACTTGTTCTTCAGTGCTGCAAGCATACCAGAATGAAAAGGGGACTCAAGGGATAATGTTTGGGCTCTTGACCTGTTAGTTTCCCAATAAATAATAGAACTAATGTTTGTTTCATTATTTTTAGCCTGAAAACATTATGCTTTTAGACAAGAATATTCCTCTTCCACACATAAAAGTCATTGACTTTGGACTAGCCCATAAAATAGAAGATGGAGTTGAATTTAAGAATATTTTTGGGACACCAGAATTTGTAGGTGAGTGTTCAAGCAGTTCCCTTATGTTGAGGTATCCTTGCTGAATTCAGAGAGAAGTCACCTTTTCAGTCCCCTAAAATTGCCCCTCTCCCTCTGGGTGCTCTGTATTGATAGGGCTTGCTTGAATCTTCTCGGAGGAACAGCTGAAAGGCGCTTGCCGTGGCAGTTGCTGAGCTGAAGAATTCAGGTTGCTGTCAAATTAGTGTGTTAGTGAAATAAATACAGAGTTAAACCTACAACCCCCTGAACACTAATCCCAGCTCTGGTACTTACTCTCCCTGTGCAAGTCACAGCCTCTCTGTGAGGTGGGGGTAATGTAGGTCTCTGTTGAAGTTACTGTTCTCTAAAGTCTAGTGGTGCTAGAATATCCTAGTTTCTGACTGGCCAATTACCACACGAAGACTGTGAATTTATGGGATCAGTTTATTGCCATTCTGAAATAATGGGAGAAAATGCTTTCGTATACCTACTGGCTACGTCTACATTGGCACCCTTTTCCGGAAATGCTTAAAACGGAACAGTTTTCCGTTATAAGTATTTCCAGAAAAAGCACGTCTACATTGGCAGGATGCTTTTCCGGAAAAGCACTTTTTCCGAAAAAGCGTCCATGCCAATGTAGATGCGCTTTTCCGCAAAAAAGCCCCGATCGTCATTTTCGCGATCGGGGCTTTTTTGCAGAAAAGACTACTGGGCTGTCTACACTGGCCCTTTTCTGGAACAGTTTTTCCGGAAAAGGACTTTTGCCCGAACGGGAGCAGCATAGTTTTTCCGGAAAAACAATGACGATTTTACATTAGATCGTCATTGCTTTTCCGGAAAAGCAAGTGGTCAGTGTAGACAGCTGGCCAGTTATTCCGGAAAAGCGGCTGCTTTTCCGGAATAAGTGGCCAGTGTAGACACAGCCACTTAGAGATGTGATGAACCCTGTGAGATGAAGTAATTTGTGGTTGACATTATAATGAATACTGTAGGTGGACTGTAATAGCTTCCTCTGCTTTATCCTTTGATCCCTTTTCATTCTCTATTGACTGTAAATTAGCTCTCCCTCTGTTGGGGAGCTTACATTCCTACCATCACATGCACATACAGTATAATTAATCTGTTGCTGATGTTTGACTAAATGTTTCTTATAGCTCCAGAAATAGTGAACTATGAACCACTTGGACTACCTGCAGATATGTGGTAAGTGTGTGGCACTAACTTTTTTTCCAAGATGCTATACTGCTTTTTCTTGAGGGTGCTCTGTGTAAATTCCTTTCTCTACATATCAGAAAATTCTGACCTATGATAAATAGCTGTTCTGTCACTCCTTTCATTTTTGCATGCTACTTAGAGTACGTCTAAACTACACTCCTCTGTCAGCAGAGGGATGTAAATTAGACGTATCAAAAGTGCAAATGAAGCTGGGATTTAAATATCCCATGTGTCACTTCATACCTGAGGAGTACAGGATCTTTCAAAATGGGGCATTTCTGTCAAAAATGTCCCATTTAAACTGCTGGGTTTTTTTCGAAAAGCCCCATTTTGAAAAAAAGCAGCGGCCGCCATTATGCAAATGAAGTGCAGGATATTTAAATCCCAGCTTCATTTGCACTTTCGATACGTCTAATTTACATCCCTCTGCCGACAGAGGGGTGTAGTTTAGACATACCCTTACAGTAAACTTCTACTCGTGATTATTAAACATTTTAATTATATAATTATATTTGTATTACCTGGCACCTTTTGTGGAGAGCCTTTTGAAAGACACGATTGTCCTTGCTGTGACTCTTGAAAGCTTTGTTTATAAAAGAGCTGTGACTAGAGAAAGCTTCAAAATGAAGCTGTTTTGTTAAGGCAGCCCAGAACGGTCATAATGGCTAGAACATCCTTGTAGATATTCCTCTGGGCTGCTGACTAGTTAACTACCATGAACCCACCATGACTTTATAGACCCTTATAAAGGAACCCCAGATACTAGATCCAACATACATATTCCTTTTTATGAAACACTGACTTTTACATAAATTTTGTCTGACTGCTTTTATCATGGGTCATCCTCCGCTCTAGCAGTAATAATTGACTCATGTCACACACATGTATAAAACCTACCATCAGTTGTTCTTTTGTTTTCTAGGAGCATAGGAGTCATGACCTACATACTGTAAGTACAGAATTGGATCTACTTGTATGGATATCTGTAGAAGTGGTAGCAAGCTAGTGGAAAGCAGCTCTTCCCATCAGTCCCTTAGGCAGGGGTGGGCAAAAAGGCCTCCATGGGCCAGATCCGGCCCGCCAAGCGAGTTGATCTGGCTCTCAGAGGCCCTGCCACTCCCCGTGCCCCAGGCCAATCAGGAGTGCACGCAAAGTCTCCTCCTGCCCTGCGAGGGGTGTGACGTTTCTAAGCACCGCATGCTCCTTGCAGGACGGGGGCAGAGTAGGAGAGATTTTGTGCGCTCTCTCCACCCCCAGGCCAATCAGGAGTACGTGCAAAGTCTCCTCCTGCCCTGCGAGGGGTGTGACGTTTCTAAGCACCGCATGCTCCTTGCAGGACGGGGGCAGAGTAGGAGAGATTTTGTGCGCTCTCTCCACCCCCAGGCCAATCAGGCCTTGGGGGTGGGAGGAGCACATGAAGTCTCCTCCTGCCCAGCAAGGGGCTCAGCACGTAAAGTCAACTGCCAGCTACTGCTCAGCTCGTGGTTGACTTTAAGCACCGCTCTCCCGTGAAGTCTCCTCCTGCCCTGCGAGGGGTGTGACGTTTCTAAGCACCGCATGCTCCTTGCAGGACGGGGGCAGAGTAGGAGAGATTTTGTGCGCTCTCTCCACCCCCAGGCCAATCAGGGCTTGGGGGTGGGAGGAGCACATGAAGTCTCCTCCTGCCCAGCAAGGGGCTCAGCACGTAAAGTCAACTGCCAGCTACTGCTCAGCTCGTGGTTGACTTTAAGCACCGCTCTCCTGTGCATGTGCTCCCTCTTCCCAGGCCCTGATTGACCTGGGAGCAGCAGGGGAGAGCATGTGAAGTCTCCTCCGACCACCGGGTTCAGAACAGCTGATGGCTCTCCTGGGGGGGGGGGAGCAAAGACTGCATGTTCCCCCATCCCCAGACCAATCAGAGTCTGTGTGTAGTGAAGCATGGAAGAGTCCTGGCCCTGCCTCTTCCACTTCCTGGGTGGCCTGAAGTGGCCCCTGGTCAAAAATTATTGCCCACCCCTGCCCCTAGGGAAGGAGTTGCACAGCAGAAATAGGGCCATGGAGTGATGGATCCGGAAGCCTTTTAAAATAGAGAAAGCAAAAGATTAAGTGAAACTAAAGGAGAGAGATGGGGCCATTATTCAGCAAATGTCTCCAAGTGACACCAGAAGCATCTATCTGTGCCTCTTCTGTTTTGGGGGGGTGGGGGTGGGACTTTTAAAAGTGGCCACCAAATGTTGACTGAAATCTGCTGCCATTGATGTCAAACATCCATCAGCTTAAGTGGGAACAGAGTTAGACCAACACCAGGCACTTTTTAAAATCCCACTTAAATCTCAGCCTCTCCAGCCCTGGTGTTCTCTTGCATGGGATCAAAGGGATCAAGGTTGCAGGCTTTACTCAAAGCTCCCTTTTGCCTCCTAGGGAATTTTGTATTTACAAGCTTTGCAGCATTGAGCCCAACAAAGAGAGAGTTCAAAGAGGACTGTCTTTCTGACAGGCAAAGCATGTGGAGCAGAATCAACACACGCACAGGCCATGCTGAGAGTTTTTGGATTGCTTCTTAAATTTAGATCCTGTGCACTATACAATGGCTGTAAGCTGACAACATAGCCTGGATGCTGTGAAGTCCCTTAACCCCTGGGATAGAGTAAGGGCACATGGATACAGTCTGACAATTGTCCAGATCCTTGGTCCTCGTTTGCACTTTTCTGGTCATTAGAGGATACATCTGAACCTGGTAGTACATCAGCGTCTTCATCGGGGGGGTCTCAAACTCAATGTGCCACTCCTCAAATCCTCTAATGAGCCAACAGGCACTGCTGTCTGGCATGGCTGAGGGTGTGTGTGTGGGGGGGTGACTTTGCACCCCACTTCCCATGTTTCCTGGCCCTGCTTGCCGGCCGGTGCGCTCCCCCTTGCATTCCCCAGCCCCACCGGCCACCCCAAGGGGATTTAACTCACACAGAGGTTTCCAGCACCACTACCGGTAGAGCAGAGGGACAAGAGTGGCTAGAGCTGTGGCCGGGGGAGGCGTGTGCAGAGCCATCCCCTCCATAGGATAGTTCGGCAAGGCTGCTCCGGGCCTTGCAGCAGCTACCCCATACTCAGGTTAGCCCGCTGGACCCTGGTCAGGTTGACAGGAGCTGCAGTGAAGTGGAATGACGCAGCGGCCTGCTCCACTCTACCGCCATCTCCCACGCCGCTCCGCAGGATGGCCTGGGAGGTGGCAGCTGCTGAATGACTTTGCTTCTCCACAGATCCCACAGGGAGAGTGGTGGGGCCTGACCCCTGCTGCCACCCCATGCCAGGCCCCCCAGGAAGCCTCAATGCTGTGTCCCTCAGGAAAGGGAGCTTGAGGGAAGTGGTGCAGTACAGGGGGCAGAGCAGGGGCAGGAAGAGGCAGGGGGAGGGCAGACCAGGGGCTGGACTTGGGGGAAGGGTACAAACCCCCCAGAGTTGCAGGGACTCACATGCCAGCAGCTGTGCACGGGCCAGATTGTGGAACTGCTCAGCCCACAGATGGCCCACAGGCCGGGAGTTTGAGACCCCATTGTTATTTACATCTGTTTATAGATGAATGGAAAGGGAGATTGAAAGAGATGAGAATGTTTGTGCTGTGATTACAGTAAGACACCCATAGCCAGGTGCTTTGAGAGGTCGTCACTTTCCTCTGAAGCCTTTGCTGGAGGTAGAATAATGGAGAGGGTGGAACAGAGCACTCTTCCAATAGGGCAGGTCTTTTCTACTTCTATATACCTTTGCTCTGCAGAGAGATGGAAGCATTGATTTTGCTTTTGTGTTTCTCCAGCTGGTTGAAAAGACCTAGAAACCTTGTGCAAAAATGTTGTATTTCAAGATGGGCTTTCCCCTGGAATTCCAGATCCAAACTCTCCCCCATGTTGGAGGGTGTTTAAAACAGGAGTTTATTCTGATCCTATAGCTACTTATTAAAACCTCTCTTGGAAAAAAAGAAATGCAAACAATGTGTCCCTGTAGATTCCCACAAATCCTCACTCTGTGGTATTGCAACATATTTGTGGCATGTCACAGTTCACAAGATTGGTGTTATGCCTCTGGCTTTGGAGCAGTCTCTAGGAGGAAATCCTTCAATATACTAGACCTGTGAGGCTTTGTCTACACTACACACTTTTGTGGCAGAAAATATGCTAATGAGTCCCTCATTAGCATAAGTTGCAATATCATTAGCATGTTTTCTGCTGTTTCTTTTTGTGCAAGATCCTTATGCCTCTCTTGGGGAGAAGCAACTAGTCAACTATCCTGTCAACTATCCAATAAGCAAATGCATTTGCTTATCGGATAGTCGACTAATCAACTAGTTCTTAACATCCCTAGTCTAACGACCATTCAGGACAGACAGCTATCCTGTCTCTTGTTGAAAACCTCCAATGAGAGCCTCTGCAGCCTCCCTAGGCAGTTCCATTGCCCTATAGTGCTTACAAACAGGAAGCTTTTCATGAGATTTAATCTAAATCTGCTGTGCTGTAGTTTGAACTCATTTCTTCTTGTCCCACCCTCTGCTGGAAGAGAAGAACTATTCTCCATCTTTTTAATGGCAGCCTTTCAAGTATTTGAGGACTTTTACCATATCTCCCCGTAATCACCTTTTTTCCAAACTACACATACCAGATGCCTTTTTCCTCTGCCCAGATGGCTCGCATTCCATCTCCTTTGTCACTTGCCTCTGGATCCTTTCTACTTTCTCTACATGAGCATGATGACTCTCACAGAGCCCAGGCACTACCGTAGCATTCACACAGTGCCTTTCTAGGAGCTGGGAGAGCAGCATCCCCATTCTACATAGATGCAAACTGAGGCATGGAGAGGTGAAGTGACTTGCCAAGGTCACAGGTGCATTGAGGGGGCAGTGGGTGGGAGGAGAGAAGCCAAGTGCCACGCAGCATGATTTTAAGGAAATGGAAAAATGTGGCCAAAGACTTTGGAGGAGAGATTCCCCAGCTCTGTTTTGTGACCACTGGTGGGCCACAGGGAGCTGGCTTCTCATGTGTTGCCTGCTCTCCTCCTTGTTTCTAGCTGAGTTAAATAGAACAAAGGGGCAAGCGGGATGAGTAGAGCGAAGTAGTCAGAACAATTGGCTGGAGTCGAAGAGGGTGGGTGCTGAGAGCACCAAAGACATCTACAAGTACTCCCTCGCTGTTACCTCCCCGCATCAGCCGCTGTGGCAGTTCTGGGTTCTGAGAGGGTTGCAGAGTGGGAGTAAGGGTGACAATTTTTCTGTTCGGATTTAGTGCACGCTGTGGAAGGGTTTGGGAGCCCCCTGCCTTTGTGCATAATGCCTCCATCTTTCTCGTGTCCTCACTGCTGAGACAGTAAGCTGTAATGCAAAAAATCCTGGGTCAGTGGGTCAGATTAACTCTTCTGGGGATCCAGGACTATTAGATTTTGTGGGGGCCCCTAGGCTCTGGAGGCTCCCGCCTGGGGCCAAGGAGTTTGGAGAGGAGGAATGGGCTCAAGGCAGGAGGTTGGGGTGCAGAGTCTACGAGGGAGTTAGGATGCGGGAGGAGGCTCAGGGCTGAGACAGGGATTTTTGGGGGTGGGGCACTTACCTGAGCAGCTCCCCTTTGGTGGCAAGCTCCAGGGAGAGCAGGTGGCTCTGCACCATGTCCTGCGCTCACGTTCAAATACTGCCCTTTGGTCCCCGCCTCCTGTCAGGCAGAGCTGGAACGCAGGGACTTTAGTGGCTGGGATTTTAGTACCAATTTCCTTGGTGTAAATAAAACTTCCTGGAAATCTGACTCTACTGACTCAGCATTTGTGGTACTTTTTTAAAAAGGAACCATAACAGAAGTGCTTTAAGCTCAGGTCCTTCTTTGCCTGCTTGCTCATGTCCGTTCCTCATTAGATGTGTGTGCTCGCCACATGCATCAGTCTTGAAAGTTTTTCCCCTACCAGCATCTGTACATGAGCGGCTCTGGCAGCCCCTAGCGTGGCACCACCCTGGTGTGGTCTAGTGGGCATTGTGCACTTCCTCCATCCTCAGTTCCTTCTCGCTGCTAGTGACAGTGTATTGGAACTGCTGGCTTCAACTCCTCGTAGCTAGCTCTCCTCCACTTAGCAGCTCTGTGGATAGTTTACTAAGTTTATTATCCCAAATGAAATGTTTGCCTAGGGATGGGCATGATCCAGGCTCTTGGCTTTAAACCTTGTGCAACATGCAGACGCCCCATGCCCATGAGCAACCTGCCCCATAGTTGTTTGCAGCGGTCTCAGTGACAAGTGCCAAATGTGCATATCATTCAAGCTCTGTACCAAAATGGAGAGGGACATTCACTGGAAGGCATTCCTAGTGGAAATGGTACAGTCCCCAGCCTTGGGCACCATGCTTCTGGTGTGGAGTGCTCCCTCAGGGCTGGCCTCCAGTCAGCTCTGCTCACCCTTGCTGACCCCAGTGAGGAAGGCGAAGGTTTCAGCTAAGGGCCATTCCTCTGTCTCAAAAGGCGAAGGAGGGAGGGGATTTTAGACCCCCTTAGGTGGCTCATTGCCTCTACCAGGAAGTCAACTTAGATTCATGTGGAACAGCCCAACCCTGCCTGGCCCATGTCATCAGCCCTGGGCAGCAACGGTGGTCTCTGGCTCCTAAAGGCACAGTGGACACCAGAAGCCCCGTAGGCCATTCTGATTATGCCAGTGCTGATGGCACCAGTGTCTATGGAGCCCCAGCCTTGAAGTAAGAGTGTGGCAGGCTCCTTCAAGATGTCTCCCCTACGGCACCACCTGTCCCTTACAGGGCTAGAACGTCAGCATTCTCCTGTTAGATGCCATCAAGTCTTGGACTCTGAGAGAGAGGCATTGTGAATACCCCTTCATTCTCCCTCTTTGGGTACTGCTCGGAGTCACCTACTGTGGAATGGGCAAGAAACTGGTGTTCTTTGAGATGTGCTGCTCATGTCCGTTCCACAGCCAGCCCTCCTTCCCCACTGTCAGAGTTTCTGGCAAGAAGACACTAGGGGTTGGGAGAGCATGTAGCACCCTTAATACTGAGCCATGGTGGTGCCACTCCAGGACACCAGTTATGAAAAGGTAACTGTCTTCTTTGTGGGACTAAGGTAAATATCAGTCTAAGATGAAGGATGTCAGTTGTATTTGAGAGATGCCAGACAGGCTCACAGATCTTTCTAGCTAGAAGATTGCTGAATGGTGTGTTAAGTTTCTGATTGCATTGTATTCTTGCAGTTTTAAGAAAGGAGACAGAATTAGCTTGTTATGTTCTATTTTATTGCGCTGTAAGTTGCTTGTTTTGTCCTGGGGCACCTTGTCACCTTCCCACCCTGCAAAACTCTGGGCAATGCCACATAATCAGAGCAATTAATTTTCTCTATTTGTGTGGACCTTTTGGGCCCAGTTCTATGAGCACACTGTGCATAGATGCTTGCCAGTGAATCGCTGGCAGAAAAACATCATGGTGCAGGATTTCCCCCCAAATGCCTAAGAGAACAGAGCATCCTTAATGGGAACTATGAAGGGACATTCCCTGGCATAGCCTCTGGGTTTGCGTGCATGCACCCCAATGCATAACAACCGGGCCCCTCAGAGCAACTGGGCCACTCGTTCAGTGCAGATTATTCTTAAATTTGGTGGCAATAACCTGTATATCTTTCAGGGGTGGCAGGAGCATTAATAGGGTCGTTGCTGTCACACATGGAAACATAGTAATGCTGACTTTGTGAGTCTAATTTGTAGCTGTCTATATGGTGACCAGATTTGGACTTATTCTTTCCCAAGCTTCTTGGCTGCCTGGAGAAAAAAACTCACATTCCAATGTTGTCATTTCACACGGTCAGAATCACGTCAAAGTAACTCTATTTTTCCCCAATCAAAATATGATTCTCCTGTCTGGTCTGTTCAGGCTCAGTGGCGCATCACCTTTCCTTGGAGAAACGAAGCAGGAAACTCTCGCCAATATCACAGCCGTGAATTATGAATTTGATGAGGAATCTTTCAGTCACACCAGTGATCTGGCAAAAGACTTTATTAGCAAACTCCTGGTAAAAGACACACGGTAAGTGAATGTACAGAAATGTCTGGCTGCCTGCATGCCATCCAGGCAAAAAAGGAGCACACGGAGTAATTCAGAGCTTTCATTGAAGAATAGGTCTGTCCCAAAGTGAGGCGTTAGGTACAAGTGTGTCCCTTGTAAATTTCTCTATACAGAGGACCTAAAAATATGTTCTGTGTTAAAAGCCACCACATATGCCAAAATGTGGCATGCATTTTCTTTTACCAGTAGGGTTGGTTTGGCTTGGTTTTCTGTGAAGTTCAAATTACTGGAGTGTATTGGGTTTTCGAAGCTGTTCTTGTGTCTGATCATTCTTGAGCGTTTTTTATTGGTTGCTAAAGGCATCTGACAGTCCATGTGTCTGTGTGTGTGAGAGAGAATTGATTTTATGCTCAAAGTTTCAAAAAGTGGCTCTAAATGGATTGTGTTCTATGTTTTTTTGCTTGGGCACATAGCCACATTAGTTACTTTTGTTGCTAACAATGATTTGTGTTCTAGAATAATCTAGATGCTCTGCTGAAAATTGCAGTCTTGGTAGTGAGGTGCTAATGCAGACAGGCTGCCAGTGTGTCATCTAGCTCTGTGTAGAGATGCTGCTTAGAGGAGAACCTCAATTTAATCAGCATTGAGTCTCAAAAGTTACTGGGAGGAGACTTCTTCTAAGACTAAATTAAAATTGAACAAATGATTAGCTGTTAATAATTATTTGAGTAAATGATTAGCTATTAAAACTGTGCTTGGAAGGCTTTTCTGAAGGGCTGAATTATCTTCCAGTTTATCTGGTTTGACGGATTTTGTGAGAGAGGGTAAGGAGACAAACTGGCAAGATATAAGATAGTAACTCTGGGAGAGGTGGGGTTGAGCAAGCAATGCACAGGCTAGGAGATGTGTTTAGAGACTATGAATGTACTGCAAACCACCTGCTAATATAGGCTACGTCTAGACTGCAAGCCTCTTTCGAAAGAGGCTGTTTCAAAAGATACTTTTGAAAAAAAGTATCTAGACTACAACCAATACTTTTGAAGAAGCAAGCTGCTTTTTCGAAAGAGAGCACCAAGGCAGTCTGGATGCTCTCTTTCGAAAAAAGGCGTTCTTCCTCATAAAATGAGGTTTACCGCAGTTGAAAAAAACACCATGTTCTTTCAATTTAATTTCGAAAAAACTTGGCAGCAGTCTAGACGCAGGGGAAGTTTTTTCAAAGAAAGGCCACTTTTTTTGGAAAAAGCCTGTAGTCGAAATACACCCCAAAGTGAGGGCGGGAGAAGATTTAGGTGGTCCAACAAAGGTTAAAGAGGTATCTGAATGTGCAGGCCCTGGCTAACCAGGGGCTAGAGCCAACATGCCTTTAAAGGTGTGCTAGCCTTCGAAGTCGAAGCTGGACAAATTCAGATTGGAAGTAAGACAAATGTTTAACGGTGCACAATTGGCCATTGGAACAATAAAAGAGGCTAGTCTCCAAGGGTATGTCTACACTACCCTCCTAGTCCGAACTACCTAGTTCGAGCCCCGTGTAGCCGCGCTACACGGGGTTCGAACAAGCGGGGATTTAAAAATGGCGGCTCCCCGCTTATGCAAATGAAGCCCGGGATTTGAATTTCCCGGGCTTCATTTGCATAAGCGGGGAGCCGCCATTTTTAAATCCCCGCTTGTTCGAACCCCGTGTAGCGCGGCTACACGGGGGTCGAACAAGCGGGGATTTAAAAATGGCGGCTCCCCGCTTATGCAAATGAAGCCCGGGATTTGAATTTCCCGGGCTTCATTTGCATAAGCGGGGAGCCGCCATTTTTAAATCCCCGCTTGTTCGAACCCCGTGTAGCACGGCTACACGGGGCTCGAACTAGGTAGTTCGGACTAGGAGGGTAGTGTAGACATACCCCAAGAGTGAAGTCTCCATCACTGACGATGTTTAAATCAATGTTGGATGTTTTTCTGAGAGAGATGCTCTACGAATGATATGGGGGAAGTTCTATCAGCCTGTGCTACAGAGGAGGTCAGACTTAGATGATCACAATGATCCCTTCTGGCCTTGGAATGTATTAATCACATGCCGAAGCCTGCAGATTGGCTTGCAGAGATTGTCAGTAAACTAGCTCTGATATGTTCATCACTTAGGGTGTATCTAGACTACATGGCTCCGTCGACGGAGCCATGTAGATGAGGCAGGACAACAAAGGGAAATGAAGCGGCGATTTTAGTAATCGCCGCTTCATTTAAATCAAAATTGCTGCCATGCTGTGCCGATCAGCTGTTTGTGGGTACAGCGCAGCAATCTAGACAGGGATCTGCTGACCCCAGAACCTTTCATTGGCAGATCCTTTATGCCTTGTGAAACGAGGCTTACAGGATCTGCCAACGAAGGGTTCTGGGGTCGGCAGATCCCCGTCTAGACTGCCATGCTGTGCCGACAAACAGCTGATCGGCAGAGCGTGGCGGCCATTTTGATTTAAATGAAGTGGCGATTATTTAAATTGCCGCTTCATTTCCCTTTTTCGAATAAACTTATCTACATGGCTCTGTTGACGGAGCCATGTAGTTTAGACATACCCTTGGAGGGTTGGGTTCATCAGTCTCAAACTTCCAGAGGGACGTCCTATCAAGCCACATTTATAAGCCACCATTTTCTCTTTACTGTCTTCGTGGAGTCCATGATTTGAGGCAGGATGGCTCTTGTACATCACTGTAAGTAATCCAAGCAGTACTGATATTAAAATGCTGGTTCATAAACCTCCTGAAAGTAATGTATGGTAAGCAGCTTGGTTCTCATTTAAATCTGTGTTTCATTGCAGGAAGCGGCTAACAAGTCAAGAAGCTCTCACTCATCCTTGGATAATGGTAAGGCCACGGATGGTGACAGAATACGGCTGTGGCTTTATAACAGCTGGTCGTTTACTTCAGGGTAAACGAGTTCAGAATTTGTATGGGAATTTATAGTTCCACGCTAACAGCTACGTGCCTAAATAGCAAGAGAATTCCTCATAGTTATGGCTTTCAGAAATCCGTTTGAACCAGACAGTGACCCTTGGCCTCTCCGTGTCTCACTTGTACTCATGAGCAAAGCAGGGAGAATACTGCCTTTCTCCTCAGATAAGTTATAAGTTATAAGGCTAATAGCCACTCCCTGGAGGCAAAACACACAGTAGTAAAAACTAATTCCTAACAAAATCTTGGATCTCTGCAAGCCTTAATCATGACTTCAGTTATTACAATAAATGCCAGAAAAAAGGTGACTGGAGTACACATGAATGGGCATGCTGTATTCTGTATCCAGAATGCAATTTGTGTTGTTTTCATTTCTAACCTGTTTGCATGAACACAAACCATACTTCTGGTTTACTGCTTTTGGGTGTTAAGAGCTCACCACAGCAAATGAGAAAGCAAATCAGCTCCTTCAAAATGTCATTGGTGTAGTGAGCTGGTAGCTGTCTGGATTTGCTTGGTACTTGGATTTGTGTGTCTCTGTGTGTCATTGTGATGTTCTAAGCACAGCTTGCCCCTGTAGATAAATATCTTAGTCAAAATAAATTTGGCTAATCTCAGCATGGCAAACAGGGATGTTTTAACACCGGCTCATTCTCATTTTCTTATGTATTGTATGAAACATAGAGCAGAGTGTTTTCAGGATTTTTTTTTTCTCCACAATGTTGATGGTTTTAAGACTTTAACTGCAAAAATTATAGCATGCAAATAGCTCACACTCAGTGCTTGTCATATCACCTCTTTTATTTTAATCAAATGCATGAAGATTGACTGAAACGCCGCTTCTCCTAGCATTGTGGAAATACAGTTTGCATCATCCCTTGTATGCTATGTAGAGTAGAATGTGTGCAATATCTTGCAATCTTGGTAAACAATCAGTAATATTGGTTCTTCTGTCTGAAGACTCATCAGTTGATCGAAGAAACAAAAGTCCAAGAAAACAAAAAGGCTGAGCACAGTCAACTGAAGACAAAACGTCTGAAAGAGTACACCATCAAGTGCCATTCAAGTATGCCACCAAATAACACCTACATCGACTGTGAGCGCTTTGCCCAGGTGGTAGAAGATATTTCTCTGATGGAACATGGTTTCAGCACTCTGGCTATGTCCCACGACTCCCTGCAGGAGGACATTGATGCGTTAGTTTCCATATATAATGAAAAAGAAACTTGGTACAAAGAAGAAAATGAAAGTGTGAGACACAAGCTTTCACAGCTGAAATATGAGCACCGTAAAATTGAATCTCTGAAGAAACATCTGCAGGATGACATCAAGACTGTAGGTTCTAGTCTTGCAAGTGTTACAGGGAAATATATTGATCTAAAGTCTCAGTATGAATCTCTGAGTCAGGATCTTTCTGAAGAACTCAGGTGGATACAGGATTTAATGAGTAGCTTTCAGCTGGAGAATGCAAATGAAGCATGTGTAAATGGAAACTTTGGCTCTGTTTTCAACAAAGATATTAATGAATCACTAATGGAGCTGTTAAATAGATCTTGCTGTGAAGAATTCCTTGCAGGCTTGAATCTTGATGTTGCAGAATCAAGTCAGTGATGTTGGATAACAGGTGCTAATGTAGATTTTTGTCTATCTTGCTGTCTGTCTCTCTCAATGTGCAGCAGTAAAAAATCATCTGAGTGTGTAACTTCAGCACAACACTACCACCTCTGCATTAAAACAGCGAAATAAGCATGATGCACAAACTAGTGACAGTAGCCTATCCTCTTCCATGGTTTTTGTGCTGATGTTGTGACCAGCCCATTTTTTTTTTTAACCCTTAGAATTAGAAAGCACTTTGTTTTAGGGGGCGTGCAATATGGAGACACACAAGTCCTAAAAATTATTAGATAATTCACTTGAATTTTTTAAAAAACTATTTCACTTCTTATTTACCAGCTACATGTGCTTTGAAGTCTATAAAATCACCTGATAGGTAGGTGACCTCATCATTCTTGTTCGGATGAGGGAAATAGTCTTGCAGACTTGCTGGGGGAGCAGATAATTAAACTTATGAAGATTATTGCAGCCCTTTAAAACGGAACAAAAGATGCAGTGATTTATCATTTCACACCATGAAACTCATAGCTAAAGAAGAAGAGTTAGAGTTATTCTATAAGCTAGTTATTCAGGGTATAGTCTCTCACTGTCATTAGATGTTAGAACAGAGGTCCCAAAGCTGCGGGGAGTGTTCCCCTAGGAAGGCGCAGAAGCATGTACAGTGGGTGCAGCTGGGGCTTGGGCCAGCCCCATGGAAAAGGAGGGCCACCCCCAATCCGCTCCCATGTCCCAGCAGCCAAGTGTTCAGGCCCTGGCTGCTGGCCTTGTCCCCGAGCTGAGATTCTGCCTCTGGCCTCAGCTGTGGCTCCAGCCTTGGCGCTTAACCCATTCCCAGAATTATGCCCCCCCCCAGCCCTGGCTCAAAGAGGGGTGAAATGAACAGGGTTAAGGGGTGACACAAGGTAAAAAGTTTGGGGCCCACTGTTTTACTAGTCTTTTATTGTGGTGTTCTTGCCATAAAAACAGGTACCGTATTTTCCGGCGTAAAAGACGACTTTTTATACTAAAAAACATCCCCCAAAAATCGGGGGTCGTCTTATACGCCGGGTATAAACATACACGCAGTCCCCGACTTGCAGGTACGAATGGGGCTTTTCTCGCCCTGGAGGACACGGACTGCGGGACCTCGCGGTCCCGCCGCCCGTGTACTCCGGGGCGAGAAAAGCTGCTCCGCTTCTCCCTGGTCTGCAGACCAGGAAGACGTGGAGGAAAGCCGCGGAGGGGCTCTGGCAGTGGGGCAGCCCAGGCGG